TGGCCTTTTTACCTTGGATTATAATTTCATATTTTTTTCTCTTTTTTTTTGTGGATTAAAACTTGAAAAAACTTGAAGAGTTGGAACCACTTAAAATGAGTAAGAAATTTATATCTTCGGGTGCCTCTATGTCTGCTTCTGCCTCCCCACCATCTGGACAGCGCTCAATTCAGACATTGTTAAAGCAAGATAAAGAGAAAGAAAAAGAACAAGAAAGAGTATCCTTCCAGATGATTATGCAAGGAATTCAAGATCTTAAGGTAAAAATGGATACTATTGAACAAAGAACAGGTAGGATGGAACAGATGATGGAAAAATATGAAGAGAGACTCCAAAATGTTGAAGAGGGAGGCAAACAAAGAGAGGAGAAAATTGGAAATATCGACAATAGATTAACAGCGATTGAACAAGAAAAAAGTGAGATGTTGAAGTGGGAGTTGGATAGATCAGAATTTTATCTTAGATTCCAAAATATAGAAGAAGAAAAAGGACAAGATTTGGCTGCGATAATGGTAGGAATTCTGGCGGAGGCGCTCGAGATAACAGAAGAGAAGATGATGGATGGAATTGATGAGATATATCGAGTTTTTACAAGATATGCGATGAGAAATAACCTACCCAGAGAAGTTCATATTAGATTTATTAAAAAATCTTTGAAGACACAAATATTGCAAGCAGCAAGAGAGAAGCCACTGAAATACAAAGGTAAAGAAATTTTGGTTTTAAAAGAAGGCTTATCTTGTTTGGCATTCTTCCAATGGACTGTACCTGGTTATCTTCCTGAAGTTGGCAAGTATCTATCCTGGTCTGTCGTGGAACTTTATTCAGTGCGGTTTGTTTTTGGTTTTTGCTTCGTTATCAGCTCTTTGAATTTGAACTGTTTCTTTCCTTTGAAATGTTATTTTGAAAATAGTTTACTCCTCCACTGTGAACAATTAAACAGTGAAGCCAAGTTAAAGGACTTTTATTTACGTTTTGGTTTTTGTTATATTTCTGATATACTCTGGGTCATCACATTTTGTCTCCAGCCACCCCTTCAACTTGTTTCTGCTTTTCGTGGGGTGACCATGGATCAGCTCAGAGCAGACAATGCCCAGTAAAGCCAGCAAGTGGCTCTTTTGACTGCACAGGTTGCGCAGATGCAAGCTGCCCGGCCACGCCATAAATGCCCGGTAGTGGTGCCAGATAAATTTGATGGATTGCTGGCCCAATTTCCATCATTTTTGGGGCAGTGCCAGGTTTATATGAGCCTTCGGCCAGAGGACTTCTCCACTGACCAGGATAAGGTGGGGTTTTTGATTAGTTTGTTGTCAAGCTCTGCAGCACGATGGGTGATGCCTCTGTTGACCCAGCCCAACCAGGTGTTGGACAATTATGCCAAGTTTTGCCATCATTTCCAGGCCATGTTTGAGGACCCTTTTCGGAGCCAAACAGCAAACAGACGTTTGAGACAGTTGAAGCAGGGGCGTGGCTCGCTCGTGTATTATATTACTAGCTTTTGGGTGGTTGCCCAGGACATACAATGGAATGAGGCAGCACTGTTAGCCCAGTTCCAGGAGGGTTTGTCATCAGAGCTCCTGGATGAGTTGGCATGCACTGAATGCCCTTGCACCCTTCAGGAGCTCATGCATCTGTGTCTTCGTATTGATGCTAGGCTTTAGCAGTGACGGGTGCGACGACGGATGGAGACTGCATCTGTTCCCAGCAAAGTGGCGCCTTTGGTGGAAGTGCCTTTGGAAGAGCCCATGCAGTTGGGGGCTGCCCGCCCTTGCCTGTCCCAAGTAGAAAAGGATAGGTGTCGTTGTGATGGGTTATACCTCTGTTGTGGCAATCAAGGCCATTTTGTGGCCAAGTGTCCTGTTAAGACATCCACAGCAGCAACATCAGTGGTGACAGGAAATAAGTATCACCTGGCCTATGGGGGTCTGTAGGTCAGGTTTCAAAGTCCCTAGGCCCGCCATCTTCCCCATCCTTGCCATCCTCGCCATCTTTGACATTTCCACCCCAGTCGTCATTGGTGAAGCATCTTGTGCTGACAGCAAGTGTGTTTGTGCCTGGTCATGGAGCGGTGGAGATCCAAGCCTTGGTCGACTCAGGGGCCACAGCCAATTTCATGGATGCTCATTTTGTCGAGCAGTGGTTCATTCCCCAGCAACAGGTGTCCCCGCCAGTAATGGTGGAGATGATTGATATTCGGCCCCTTTGTTCAGCACCTGTGGTTGCTGCAACCAAACCCCTTCGCACGTGTATTGGGCAGCATGTGGAGGAAGCCATATTCTACATTGCCGCAGTACCTCATTTTCAGGTGGTGCTGGGTTTGGAGTGGTTACAGGCCCATGATCTACAGATTGTCTGGTTGTCTGGAACTGTGCAATTTCTTGATAGGAAGTGTGCCAACCATTGCTTGCGTTCCTGTGTAGGAGGTGTGATTACGCCTGTGGACTTGGATCTACCTGCGGAGCTGGTGACCTATGTTCCAAGTGGGGGGAATCAACGCTGATGCATTGTCCCAGAAGCCCGAGTATACCCAAAGGGAGGACAAAATCTTGCTCCAGACGGTCATTCCTTTGGAGCGGTTTGCAGCCACAGAGGAGCCTGTGGACCTTTGAGTGAGGATTCAGGAGGCACAGCAACAGGATCCATTTGTGGCAGCTCGGTGTCGTGAATTGGATGAGAATGGGAGACAAGAGACTCCTTGGGAATATATTGGGGACCTGTTGTGGTTCTGTGATCATATTTACGTGCCTGGAGGTCCTCTTCATGGCCTTATCTTACATCAATGTCATGATAATCTGGCGGCAGGACACTTTGGGGTGTTCAAAACACTGCACCTCATTTCAAGGACATTTTGGTGGCCGAGACTTAAGCATGATGTGTCGTGATATGTGGCATTCTGTGTGATCTGTTGACAAGCCAAGTATGCTCCTGGTGCACCCCCTGGTCTCTTGCAGCCATTGCCCACACCTGAAAAACCTTGGGGGGCATTTTCATTGGACTTCATCACTGAATTGCCACCATCAAAGGGTGCTACAACCATTTTGGTGGTGGTAGATATGTTGACTAAAATGGCCCACTTTATTCCACGTATGGGTCTTCCTACAGCCAGAATAATGGCCCAGTTGTTTATCTCCCATGTATTCCGGTTGCATGGGTTACCAGACCGAATAGGATCAGATCGGGGGGGTACAATTTACGGCACGCTTCTGGCACACCCTACTCACGAAACTGCAGGTTCAGGCGTGTCTGTTGTCCACCATCACCCCGAAACTGATGGGGGGACAGAGAGAGTGAATGCTATTTTGGAGCAGTATCTCTGCTGTTTCAGCAATACTCAACAAGACAATTGGGTAGAAGTTCTGCCGGTGGCAGAATTTGCTTACAACAATGCTCAGCATGCATCCACCCATGTGTCCCCATTCTTTGCCAACTATGGTTTTCATCCACGACTTTTCCCTTTAGCCCCGACTCCCCAGTTCTGGCAGTGGATACATTCTTGCAAGAGTGAAAAGCCGTGCACCACGTGGTCTAAGACCAACTAGAGAGAGCCAAGGAGGACTACAAACGCTTTGCAGACCGACATCATCGTGATATTCTGCCTTTAGCGGTAGGCGATCGGGTGTGGCTCTCTACTCAATACTTACCAACAACATGGCCATAGAAAAAGCTCGATCACCGTTACTTGGGACCTTTTCCAGTCGAGGCAGTGATCAATACTGTAGCTTTTAGTCTCTCCCGGTCATGGACCACACGTATCCATCCTGTTTTTCATTGCTCCTTGTTAATCCCTGTATTGGCCGACAGCCCTTATAGATCAGCTCCTCCACCAACGGGCCCGTTAGCCCCTCAGGGAGAGGTGGAGTATGAAGTGGATAGCATCCGAGATTCACACCAGTTGCAGGGCCGATTTCAGTATTTGGTGGCATGGAAAGTTTATGGACCAGAGGACTTCACCTGGGTTGATGCCACTGATATTCATGCTCCTCATTTGGTCCATGATTTCCATGCTTGATTTCATCAACGTCCTCATCTGCCTGGTCCCGGGGGAGGGGGCCCTGCAGGGGGGGATAGTGTCATGCCCCTGGTGGAGACTCAGGAAGAGGAGGAACAGCCAACAGGGAATGGAAGTGTGGCTCCAGAGGTGGTGGAGGAGGCTGGGGAAGGGCAGAGGCCGGCTGAGCAGTCAGAGGAGGATCCAGGCCCATCCCTTATCCATCCTAGGGCACAGAGGAAGGAGAGGATTAGGGTAAAACGTGGTCTACTCAGGAGGAGAGATCCATGATCCTCTTCATGGGTTGCAGGTGTGAGATTTGCATAAGAGTTTGGACCTGTGTGCTAACAGACGCTGGAGACAAATTAGTGTTTTATTCCTAAAGAAGGCTTATCTTGTTTGGCATTCTTCCAATGGACTGTACCTGGTTATCTTCCTGAAGTTGGCAAGTATCTATCCTGGTCTGTCGTGGAACTTTATTCAGTGCGGTTTGTTTTTGGTTTTTGCTTCGTTATCAGCTCTTTGAATTTGAACTGTTTCTTTCCTTTGAAATGTTATTTTGAAAATAGTTTACTCCTCCACTGTGAACAATTAAACAGTGAAGCCAAGTTAAACGACTTTTATTTATGTTTTGATTTTTGTTATATTTCTGATATACTCTGGTTCATCACATAAAGCCTTAGTAAGACCACACCTAGAGTACTGCATCCACGACCCACAGGTTGAGAACCACTGGTGTAGGGTCTCCTGCTTGGATGGGGGATTGGACTACATGACCTGCATGATCCCTTCCAACTCTGTTAATCTGTTAATCTCAAATAACCATATTGATTTCATCTATTCAATGCTTTTTTCATGGAAACTATATTTCTATTCCCTGTAATTTTTACTATCTTTAGTACTCAAAGATGTTTACAGTATGTAAATATTTAATAGAATGTTGCTCATATGAACTTCAATATATAGTGACCAAATTTCTTCATGTCTCATGTTACCTTTATTTTTTTATTAGGAGAAGAAATATCGTTTTCAAAATCAGGTAGACAAGATGAAAGAAAAAGTGAAGAATGTGGAAGAAAGATCGAAAGAATTTGTGAATAGAGTTGAAGAAAAAAGCCATGATCTCATTCAGAAATGGGAAGAAAAGTCTAGGGAGTTTATTGGCAACTTCTTAGAACTATTTGGACCAGATGGAGCTTGGGTATTTATTTTTTCACACATACATATAGTTTATAAGTTATTGATGAGTCATCTTCTACACCCCAATATCTTGAAAATAATAGAGAAATAAAGCATGCTTTATCTACTCAAAGCAATTAATATAACAACAATACAACAGCAAAATTATATCGTGAGCTAGATTATATTTAAAAATCTTTCAACATTCAAAATCAGGTTCGAACAACTCTCTTAAAATGCCAGGGATTAAATCTGAGGACATTCGGATGCAACATATATTATTAAGTAGTAATGTAAGATTTCTTACTTCAGTTTGTAATGATACATGCTAAAAAAGCACTCTACTATATACAGTAGTAATCAGTAATACTGATTTTTAGGAGATAAAGTTGCATATAATGGATTTGATTTCACAATAACTGTATTGGCAAACCAGCTTCAGTGAAAAGATCTTTTGGTTTTTTTGTACAGCATGGCAGTACCTATTAAAGTTTAATATTTGCATGAAAGCCTTTGTAGTTAGAAGCCACATAAAATAATCAGCTTAAGAGTACAACTTGAGTTAGCATTGTTCTAGAAAAATAAATGATATTGCTATGGGGCAAATTAAGTCTATGAATATTGTTAAGTTTTCTTTTCAAACATTGATTTCAATGCTGACATTAAATATAGAAGATTAATTCACGTCTTGATTCATACATGTGCATATGTTACTATGCTATTATCAGTAATATATTTGAACTCTCATTCACCTTCAAGCAGATAGAATTAGGAATATATAACATTGAAAATGGAGAAATCAATCCATTAGAGTTTAATCTTATTTCTTTTTTTAAAGAGTAGGAAGTTCAATTGTTTTGAACAACAGTTATTGGTGCTGGCATGAAAAGCTTTATAAAATATGTTTCTTGTGTATAAAATAGGCAATGCTCTATGTTGCAATATTTTGGTTGCATTTATACTTTTTAATTTTTTTAAAAAAGTGTGTGAACTTGCATGGGAAGGATGCATAAAACAAACCTTAATTGTGCTTTATTCACACTTCTGGTTCATAAGTGTTTAATTAGTTTTTTTGGCTTTTTCATTATTTTTTATTTTAAAAAACCCACTGTTTTCCTACCTAAAAATCCTCCTCGTTTCCCCAAGAATTTAGTATGCTAAAAATAATATAACATTTAACCCTTGATAAGTCTCATCACATGATGAAAGAAAATTTTGCTTGATGTTTTATTTTTCCCCTTCTCAGAAACACTGTAAAGCACTCAAATAATGTAAGAAGAGTGCTCCAAGCTCACCTGTGATCCTTTCCTTCTCTCTGCTACTTCATTGCCCCTTGAAATCCCTCCTACCTTGCATATACTTTGGCTACATCAGTTTTTTGGGGGAAAGACATCTCATTTACCCATAAAAACAAACATAAAGATAAAAAGATTATTGGGCAAAAACAGAATTAAGAGAGTGAGCTGAGGATATATCTATTACTGTATCCATACATGTCCACATTTCTTTGTTTCCAGAAGCAGATGTTTCAAGAGAGGAGTGGGCGCATGCTTCAAGCCTTATCTCCAAGGCAAAGTCCCACAAGCAGTCCAACACGGGGACGTTCCCCATCACGTTCCCCGTCTCCTCCTTCCCCTTGGCTCTTCAGAAAGGCTTCACCACCTTCCTCTCCAAAAGTTGCCTCAGCATCCATTAGCAGCATGAGTGAAGGAGATGAGGATGAAAAGTAAACAAGGGAAAATTTGTAGTAAAAGAAAGAAGAAATATACCAATGGCTCTCCATACAGTTCAAAGTAGAAGAAAGAAAAGGATGCATAAGATGTTTCTGAAAAACAAAGTTATTGAGATTATTGGAGCACTGAAGATCTCAACTATAAAGTAGTACTTGCCAAAGGCCAGCCTGTCAAAAAAAGTCACATATGATGACAGAATATATAACAACGTCATTATTTTCCAACGGTTATGAATACTTTTAAATGCAACTGCAGCTATTGCTGCTTTAAGCTGTTGGACTGTTGTGAGGATTGTTGGTTGAAAGGTTAATTCGGCAAATGTTAAGAAGGATTTTTTTTTATTAAACAAGGCACATTTAAATTTGAATAACACTGCACTCTACTAAAAAGTTGTATCTCACAAGAATAAAATGAAGTACTGCCTAGAAACAACAGAAGTTCCTACAGTGCCAGGAAACACTCAAATAAAATCATGCCATTAGAATTAAGCTCTGTCTTTCACAGTTGACACAATATAGGTCTACTGAATTTGATTAATATTGCTTAATGAGCAGGCTTTTGTAGACACCAAGAAAGTTATTTAATGTGAAAAAATGGACATGTCCAGTGGTGGGATTCAAATTTTTTTACTACCAGTTCTGTGGGCATGGCTTGATGGAGGTTACAGGGGAAGGATACTGTAAAATCTCCAGTCAGAGGTGGTATTTGCCAGTTCTCCAAAATACTAAAAATTTCTACTACCAGTTCTCCAGAACTGATGAGAACCTGCTGAATACCATCGCTGGATCTGTCCTCCAAAGCTTTTTTTTGATTTTACAATTATTATTCAATATGATTTTATATCTGGTGAATTTGGTAAATTAACTCACAGTGCATGGTTCAATTCATTAATTAATGTTTATATCATACACTATATCATTTAAAACAATTTTTCCATATAACATATTATTACAAGAAGAAGAACCCAAGTGGATAATGCATACCATTTATTATTTCAGATAATAAACCTGGAAGAAATCAAGGGTGGCATGAGTGCTGTCCCATTTTGGTAAAATGTTTGGTAATGTGCATGTAATTCTATTAAGAATCAATGTATAATTTTTCTATAGAAGCAAAGCATTATATTACAACTGACTTTTTATTGCCAAAATATCATATTAGATTTTAGTAGTCAACTTTTCAGCAACTACAATCAGAGCTTTGTTTTTTGCATACGGACTTAATAAAACATTTTTTGTTATTACATGCCGCTATATATTCTAGAACAGAGTTCCCCAATGTTTCCAACTTTGCGAACCTGTGGAGGGAAGGGGGGGAGGAAGAGATGGCTCTGCGCAAGCGGCTGACAAGTGCACACAGCTCCATTTGCGCAAGGTACATATGCACCAGCTGCTCACTTAAATGGAGTGTGCATGCCCACGGTGCTCATATGCAAATGAGGATGCGTGTGTGCACTTGCCGGCCATTTCTGTGGCCCAGTTGTAAACCTTTCATGGCCCACTAGTAGGCCATAGTCCAAAGGTTGGGAACTCCTGCTCTAGAACAGCCTTTTCATACTGTCTTTCAGGTGTGCTGGACAATTTCCCATAACCCTTAACATACCTGAGGGTGCATTGGGGAAAACTTGTCTAGAAACACACATATGCAGCATATTGTAAGTAATCAGATCCTTTTTACCTGTGTCACTGGCATCACATCTACTGTTAATATTCAAAAGCAGACATGAGAAATTTACCTTGCAAAATAACACGGAGAAAATGATTGGAACTTCAGAATACTTCTTATGCAGCCCATTGTCTTTTTTTGCAAGGGAGTGGATCTCTTTGATAGTCCTATTGTGTTTGACAATGTTCTTTGAACACTAGTTCTTACTGATCAACTAAGAGTTGAAACATCTCCCATCAGCCTTTCAATTTTTTAAAATGACAATTAAGATTATCAAGCGAAAGAAATGATTTGTGATATTATAGCAGACCTGCCTAATTTATGCCTATCAAGCTTAATAAAGCCCACTAGTTGTAGCTATTAAAATGCACTTCAAATCAAACTGATTCCCAAGCCCGCATGGGAACATCTTTTTTTTTTTTTTGCAATAATACAAAGTGGATTGCCCTCACCTTCTGAAATGTTTCTTTGAGTTCCCATCTACTCTACCACCCTGTATTCCCTGACGGGTTCTCAATGAAATACTAAACCAATATTGTTCATCTTCCAAGCTAACATCCATCTCCACAAAAGTCTTTATTCTTTATATCTTGAAACCATGAACTACTGTATAAGACTGACAGACTGTATTTTGCTTCTTAATTTACAAATTGGCAGGCCTGTGGATTGATCTGTCTCTCAGGTGGTTGCTTCTACCTGGCCTTAAAATAATTAAAAATGCTAAGCAGAATCAGATCTGGGTGATGCTTGAATGGGTGCCACTAGGAAAAAGGCGGCTATAGGCTAGTTTTGAGTTAAAACAACATCCTAAAAGAAAGCAGTGACATGTTTTCAGTAGTGTTGTCAAAAACAATATGGGTGTTTCAATGTATTTAATAGTGTGAGTCCAACCTAAGACAGATTTAATTTTATACTGTAGTTATACACATAATGTAGTTTATAATGTAGTTATACATATAACTACATTTTTGATAATCTGTCCAGTGCTTGGTTAATTTTGAATAGAGAGCCTTCTGTTCAAAAATCACAGTACTCAACTGGAAGATTCAATTTTAAATCAAGAATGTTATATTTTATCTTAGATGGCTCTATAGAATTTTTTAAAGAAGGAAATAGCAAAGAAAAAAATATTCCAGTAGAAATAGGAGACATTCATATAACTACAAACATAAATCACTTGTGATGATTAAAAATCACTGAGCAGGTGTATAGTTTATATATGTGGTCACAGGTAGTACTATCCTTTCCTTTTAAATTACTTAACTGCCTCAGCTGTCCTCTGCATAAAAAGATGGAACATAGCCAGTGGTGGGATTCAAATAATTTAACAACCTGTTCTCTGCTCTAATGATCAGCTAGGTAGGCGTGGCTGGGTGGTAATATGGCTGGGTGGGCATGGCCAACTTAACATCGCTCAAGGGGTGCCTTGCCTTGCCCTGCCTCTCCTCACCAGGCCTGGCCCGACCCACCCCTCCCCTCCCAGTCATTCCTTGTCATTTCTGGCTGCTCATCTCGCTGGAGCGAGTAGGTTTCAAATTAAAAGGAATGCTCACCTTGGGCAAATAAATAACATCTTGACTTCAGGTTTGATGATTCTTGTAAAGTATTATTGTTCATTCTAATCTCCTTTCCTACTAACAGTTCCACCTCAGATTGTAATTTGCTACAACTTCTCTTGTCTTTTGCATCATTCTATGGGAAATCATTCTGAAATGTTATCTGTGGTGTTTGCAGTTTTACAAGTTTGTTTCCTCCAACCCTGTTTTCACATGCAATTCTTACAAGTTATTTTGATATTCCTTCCTCCTTTATAAACAAAGTAGTGGTTAAGATGCTAGCCTAAACACCAAGAGACTCTGAGATTTAGTTCCATTTTAGGCTTGAAAAAATGGCTGAGTGACCAGTCACTCTCTCCCAGCCCAAACCACTTCTTATGTTGTGGTTGTGGAGAAACTAAGAGGAGGAAGGAATATTAGATAAGTTCTCCACCTTGAGTTCCTTATAAAGTAATAAAGACAGGATAAACATCTAACAAAATAAATAAATCATTTGTGAGAATGATGTCCTTTTAAAGGAAAGGTGTGCCAACTGCCTTGTCACATGCCTTACACTATTGCATTTATTTCATTTTTATCCATTTTTTTCCTACTTTTTTTTCTTCATTGATGGCACAGCCTGTGAAATTCTTACTGTCTCACACGCAAGGTTATATGGGAAACATCAGGTAAATACATCCATGTGACTGACAGGCAATGGTAGCAGAAATCACTAAGCAGCTACATTAAGACAGAAAGGTAGAAGCACCAGGGTGCAAAAAGCAGAGGATCTAGGAGAAGAGAGCTAAGACATCCTGAGACAATAAAAGACAATCAAAATACCTCAGGTAAATAAAATGGTTGCTGCTATTGGATGGATGAAATGTGAAAAATATTTCTCTGTGATACTTAAATTTCAGACATTTTATGCAATTGATCCATTTAATATTATTTCCTTCACTGATAGCGAAAATTTTCTGTTTTGTTGATTTTATATTTTTTTAAATCTGTGCTGTGTATCAAATTCCAGTGAGCTCACACTCCATGTAAAGTAAATCCAGCACATTGACTTTTGTTTTATTGTGGCTGATCTCTCATATACAAGAATTGGTACAGGATGCCAAGTTTTAAATATTTTTAAAAATGGCAGTAAATAATGCAAAATTATTTTAAGGCAAGAGCAAGATATTTGATGCTTGGAAATGCAACTTTGATTTTTTTATTAAATAGTTAGACTGCTATTAGATATTACCAGTTAATCAAAATCAATTTATCTGACCAGTCTTTCGGGCTTTGTCTACATTTTAGGTGACATGGATTTTTGGTTGAAATTCTCAAAATTCCTACACTATAAATTCTAGACATTTTTATAGAATAATAAGAATTGGAAGGGACTTCAGAAGTCTTCTAGTCCAAACCCCTGCTCAAGTAGGAGATCTATACTATTTCAGACAAATCGTTGTCCAGTCTCTTTTTGAAAGTCTCCAATGATTGAGCACCTACAACTTCTGAAGGCAAGCTATTCCATTGATTGATTGCTTTCACCCTTAGAAAATTTCTCTTTAGTTGCTTCTCTCCTTGGTTAGTTTTCAACCAGTTTCTTGTCTTGCCTTTTGGTGCTTTGGAAAATAGTTTGACCCTTTCATCTTTGTAGGAGCCCCTCAAATATTGGAACAGTGCTATCATGTCAGCCCTAGTTCTTTTTTATTAGATTAGACCAGGGGCGTTAAACTCACATCCTCATGGTGGTGTCACGTGACATATCAGGACTTTTTTCCCCTTTGCTAAACTGGGCGGGGACAGCACGTGACGCATTTGGGCTGCGGGCCGCAAGGTTGACATCGTTGGACTAGACATACCCAATTCCTGTAACCGTCCTTTGGACATTTTAGCCTCCAGCCCCCTAATCATTTTTATTGCTCTTCTCTGCACTTTTTCCAGTGTCTTAAACATGGCTTGCTAGGTTTCTGCCACTTTTTTTTTCTTGTGGTGGAAAAATAGATAGGGCAGAGATTATAGGAAGCTATAACTTATTAATAGTCATTTGGAAGCCAAATCCTGGTTTGACCTTGCTATGAATGGATGTTTTAAATTTAGAAAACTGTGTGGTATGTATAGAATACTAAAGGTGTATGGAATTCATTCTAGTCATGCTTTCAAATATAAACAAAAACATCAACCTGTGCTTTTTTTCCAGGAAATAGTAATTCCATGTAACTCTACTAACCCTGGGAATTATTTTCTAATGATGACAATATATACAAATCTCATCCTTTCTTTCTGCTCTCTATTGTCACAAATTACCTTAAGCTTTTTCCTTGTTTATTTTTCTAGAATAAATATTTTTGTAGTTCTGGTCAACA